CTTCCGATCCACTGCATCAACTCTTGAAGCAATACGCAGGAAGCTCAACCGCATGATCAGGAAAATCATCCTATCTCGCCAGAGTCTGGGGTCTACCATGTCAAACCAAACACTTGAAAATTGGTTCTATATTAACTTATTTTGATAAAGGTTACACTAGTAAACTCTCTTATAGAGTTGCCATGGAAATTCTTTAGCTTGTACTAGTCTACAGCCAAAGGTTGGAATGTAAAATGACTTTTTTTTAAAATTTCGAAATACAAATTCACATTTAACCACAAACAAAAAAAAGAATGTAAAAACTTCCACATATCAAAAGGCAAAGTTGCAGGAAAATGATGTAGAAAGTGTGAGCGAAGGATTGTGCATCGATTTGGTTGGTTGTTTGATGTATTTAGAAATGACAAGACCAGACATCTTATTTTTTATAAATATTAATTTTCAACTTTTTTAAATTGTGATAAGAACAAGTGTTTTAATCCCTAGTGGATTTCAGAAAAAATCTAAACCCAAACTCACGTTTCGGATTATTGACCTCATCACATCCATCTAGACTTGGTTTCTAAATACATGCCAAATCGGATATCCGAAAAATCTACGTATCTCCAGAAGATAGAAATATTAAAGCTTTTTTTGGTTAAATGTTCACTTTATAAAGACGCTTTTTAGTTTGAATAGTTCGAAAAATTTCAACAAAACAATATATCCGTAGAGTTTCGGTCGTAATATTTATATCGATTCTAGAAATTATTTTCTTTTAAGAAAATTCTTAAAAATTCCACCAAAATCAATAAATAAATAAAGACGTCGAACATCTTATTAATATCAAATTGAGGTTTTAATAAAATGAAAAAGAAACATATATTCTATGTTTCATATCAATAAAATAAAGAAAATAATATTTTTGTTGAGTTTCTAAATCATACGACTAATTTTCTTTTTTATTTAATTATAGCGGGTTTACACTTGAAAAAATCAATAATAACACCCAATTTGTTGTTCATTAAAAAGTCAGAATAACTTGTTTAAAAGGAAAGATCAAACATAAACATGAACTGTCACAAAATTACCACATAAATCCCTAGGTAAACAAATTATTGAAAATATTATTATCAGATTACCTTGGACCTTGAACCTTGAACCCTGGACCGTTTACGATGTTATCGGACAAACAGAATCCAGAGGCTATCATAACCGATCGACAAATTGACCTCACAAAAGTTTAATAAGATGTATGATTCATTCCCATATATAAATGAACAAGTAATAAAAGATGAACATCTCAGAGTTTAGCAATTCTTGTGAGTATGAAAAACCAAATCCAATGCAACCATTTCAAATAAACCATAAGTTTCAAAACCAAAACCAGATAGATTGAACCGAAGGCGGAAAACGAAAACATTTTACTCTTCGTCGTCCTCATCTCCGTCGCCACCAGAGGCTTTCTTGGAAGCAGCTTTCTCATTCTTTCTCCTAACCCTACCAGGACGGCCACCGCCAAAGGGACTAGTCAAAGCAAAGTCTATGTGTTTCTGTGAATCGACTCTCACCATGAACGACGGTATGTTCACTAACTGCTTTCCAACCCTACACGCACATAGTGTGAAACAACTTCAATTGAGGATTAAACCATGCTAACCAGCAAATTGGGCCAAATCTCCTGCATGATACAGACGGTAGCTGGGGTTGAAAGCTTTTTACTCCGACAGATGTAATGTATATATAAAATTTGGGCTAACCTTGATTTTGAGTTTCTGTTATCCAAAGTGCAACATAAATGAGACATAAACTGGTCTCGAGTTTAAAGGGTTATGTCTCAGCAGTTAACTGAGCGGTAAAACCTTTTTTTCCTCTGTACAACATTCCAGCGGTTTATGGAAGCATACCTGATATGCCTTTGTCTAATGAGCACGCGAGCATGGTGGATTGACTTTGCCATACCCGACTTGAAGACGAGAGTCTGGAGCCGGCGTTCAAGGAAGTTTTCCACAGTCAGAGCCAAGACATAATCGAGCTTGTTCTGGCTCTCATCCAGAAGACCATAACGGTTCATTCTCCGGAGGAGAGCCTCACCCTCAAAGATCCTCTTTGGATTCTTCTCGTCGAGGGTGAGTAGATCTCTAGCCGCATTACGGATACGGCTAAGCGCATACTGTACTCTCCAGAGCTCACGCTTGTTACGGAGACCGTACTCTCCGACCAGCTTCAATTCAGCATCCAAACGTTCCTTCTCATACGGACGACGCGGTTTCTTGAAAGTCTTCCCATCTTAACCCATTTTCAATCATTCGACATAAGTCATTAATGTCCAACACATCATAATCTCTGAGCCACGAGGCCCAATCCAATTTTGTAAAAGCCAAAACATCTAACTACCAACAAAATCAAACCAAAATTTCTACAAGTTTGTTCTCCCAAAGCAAAAACTAACGAGTTTCCCTGCCGAAAGCGGATTTTTCGAAGCTTGACGAAATTTCGTTCAATCACTAAAATCCTGGATCTCGTCCGACCAGAGCACAGCAGCAGGACAAGGTAACCAACACAAAATACAGAACCACATCAAAGCTTACCGAAATTTACAGTCGCATCACCAAATTCGCTACCAATTGAGTAAAACTGTCGGCAGAAACCCTAAGCGATCAAATCGATAGCGTTTTCGAAGGTAAAGCCCAAAATAGATTAAACAAAAAGAACGCGTACTTACAATTGCGGTAGTAACTGACGTTCACCATCTCTTCGTCCCCGTCTTTTCACCGACACCGACCGGGATTAACGAAGAAACAGACTCGGAGAAGAGAGTGCTTGGGAAAAGAAAGACAGGTTATATGTGGAAGTGAGAGAACCCTAAACCCTAGTGGGCTTGATAACCTATTTCTCGCTTTTTATTGGGCCTTCTTTTACAATAAACTAATTGAGCCCAACCTTATTGAAGGGCCCACTATTTTCATATCTCGGCCTCCTTTTTTTTCAAGCGAACTAATTATTATTGTCTGCATGTACGTCGTTGTAGACATGGGCAGCAGAATTAAGGGAAAACCGGAATTTGATCCAAAATTAACTCTAATTTATCTCAAAAACCGAATATTCAAGTAATTCAGATAAGAAAAAATCCAAAAAAAAATACATAACTTTTGAATTTTGACAAAAAAACACTGAACTTTTTATTTTATCAAATAAATATTAAACTTTTTAAATTTGACAAAACAAATACTCAACTCTTCTACGATTGTCAAAATAAACAAAATGACTGACGTGGCACAAAGAGATGCAAACACGTTCAGATTATTTTACTTGGTTTTTTTTACAATCGAAAAAATTTTATGTATTTTTTTGGATCACTAAAAAAGTTCAGATTTTTTTATAATTGCAAAAAAATTCATGTATTTTTTAGATCATTTAAAAAATTCAGTGTTTTTTAAATTCATTTATAAAGTTTAATATTTGTTTGACAAAAAATAAAATTCAGTGTTTTTTTTGTCAAAATTGAAAAGTTTAGTATTTTTTTTAGGATTTTCTCTTCAGATAATAAACCATGATATACATGCATTCGTATGCATTCGTGTTCGTTATAGGATTTTTTTTTCCAAATTCTAATATCAATTGTTATAAAAAAAACTAATAAATTATCTCTAAAATCTTTTGATATCTATTGAATGATAAATTTTAATGAATAAATTTATCAATGGCGAAATTAAATTTATACTGAATAATCTTTTTTGTAACTGATTATCTTACACCAAGACCCACATTAATGTCAGGTCGGAGATCCTAAATAATCATATTTGGGATTTCGTTAGTTTCAAATATTTTTTTAAAATTCACAAATAAAATATGAGACTTATTATGAAAGGTTTTCAATAACAATTGTGATCTAAAATCCATTTATATTTAGGTATATTTTCATTTTTTTATAGTAGCTATTCATTTTATGTTTGTATATAATTTCATATTTCTTCTAGACTAATTTGTGGTAATTGTCCATTAATTTTGTGTTTGGACATATTTTCCTAAAATCTCGTGTTTTATGTGTGTGATCATTTTGTTAGAAATATACAATAAAACGCACCGGAGTTTGTATTTCATTCTCCATGATTTATATGCTCTCTCTGTTCGTGGTTTTTCCCTATTTGATTTTACACATAAATCTTTATATCATTTATTTTTGGAAAAAAAACAACACAGAACTTTACAATTTTGACAAAAAAAAAACATTAAACTTTACTTTTTGTCAAATAAACATTAAATTTTTTAAACGAATCTAAAAAACAATGAACTTTTTAAATGATTCGAAAAATACATAAACTTTTCTGCGATTATAAAAAAACACTGAACTCTTTTAGTGATAAAAAAATACATGAACTTTTTTCGATTGTAAAAAACTAAGTAAAATAATCTAACGTGTTTGGATCTCATTGTGCCAGTCAATCATTTTGTTTATTTTGACAATCGTAGAAGAGTTAAGTGTTTATTTTGTCAAACTTAAAAAGTTTAATATTTATTTGATAAAATAAAAAATTGGGATAATCGCATTAAAATACCCGAACTTTTATAAAAATCTCACATAAATATCCAAATTATAAAATTGTCATATAAATACCTGAACTTTTCATAACTCTCACATAAATACCCAAACTTTTAAATTTTTTCCAAATCAAACACTCATCCGTTAACGTCGTTAAAAACAATTACTGACTCAGCAAAAAAACTGCTGACTACCAAAAAAACCTGCTGACTCAACAAACAACTGCCGACTCAGCAAAAAAATATTATTAAATATCCAAATTTTTATCTACATATATTTAAATTAATATATACATATAAATTCATAAATATATACAAATATATATATATATATATATATATTAAAAATAAAATTATTAGTTGTAAATGTATATTTTGTAATATTTATATGTATATATAAATATTATTTTTAATATATATTATATGTATATATATTAGTTATAATTATTTTTATTTTAATATCTATATTATGTATGTATATAAATTTAATTATAATTATTTTTATTTTAATATATATGCATTAGTAATGATATATATATATATATATATATATTGTAGTTATGTGTATATGTATTTTTTAATTATAAATAATTTTATTTTTAATATACATATATTTGTATATATATATGTGAATCTATATGCATATATTAATTTAAATATATGTAGATAAAAATTTGGATATTTAATAAATTTTTTTGCTGAGTCAGCAGTTTTTTTGTTGAGTCAACAAGATTTTTTTCTGAGTCAGCAGTTGCTTTTAACGACGTTAACGGATGATTGTTTGATTTGGAAAAAATTTAAAAGTTTGGATATTTATGTGGGAGTTATGAAAAGTTCAGATATTTATATGACAATTTTATAGTTCGGGTATTTATGTGAGTTTTTTGTAAAAGTTCGGGTATTTTTATGCGATTATCCCTAAAAAGTTCAGTTTTTTTGTCAAAATTTGAAAGTTTGGTGTTTTTTTTGGATTTTCCCTTTATTTTTCTTGTTTTTCTCCTTATTATTTGTTCATAGTTATCCAAGTGATTTTTAATACCTCAAACTCTAACAAACTGGTATTTGATTCATGAAACTAAAAATTAAAGTGATCTAAAGTCAAGGAATGTAAATAACAAAGATAAAAGTGAATATCAATTGAATTAAAAACGATTTCTAAAAAGATTGATGTATATCATGAATTGTATTGGATATGATATGGCATGTATAATATAGTAAACTCGCCCAAAATTCTAACCATTGGATGTCTATTAAACTTGTTTTGGGTATTCTTTGAATTCAACAAGACATCATAAATTGAAGTATTGTTATTAGGGTGGGCACAGATCGGATATCTGAGATTTTTGAGATATCCGTATCCGTATCCGATCCACACAAATATTCGATTTTGCTATCCATATCCGATCCGTAATTTTCGGATATCCGTAATTTCAGATATTCGTAAAAATTACGGATATTTGCAAATATCCGTATCCGACCTAAAATATTATAAAAATTTGAATAAAATTAAATAACAAACTCAAACGCAAATGAAATGTAGAATCTATTTAATATAAACGATATTCACAATTTAAAATTCATAATTTAAACATTCAAAATCAATTCAAATACAATCATAATCTATCTCATACAAATATATCCAAAATTTAAAATTCAAAATATTAAACATAATAAATTTTAATATTCAAAATATTAAACATTATAAACCTCAATATATATAAAATTGTTCTTGAATCACCCTAAAAAATATGTAAATATTAAGTATTTTAAATCTTCATACCAATTTATTCTTATATTTAATAATATTATTACAAAGTACGGATCAGATCGGATATGTCGGATAATTCAATTTCGATATTCGTATCCTACAAATATCTCCAAATATATATCCGTATCCGATCCGTAAACTCCGGATATCCAAATTTTCGGTTCGGATACGAATCGAATAACGGATCGGTTCAGATTTTTTGGATATTTTGTTCACCCCTAATTGTTATTACAATGAGGTATGTTCGTCTTATCCTATAAAGTTATATTCTATTTAAATATAAAAATTGAATAGAGAATAATTTTATAATAAAATATGGTTAGTCTTTGAAAATTTTATTTTTTTCGAAAAATATACATTATTTTGTTTTTACCATTTTACACTGTTATTGAACAGCATGATTTTTTTTTTCTGGGAAATCTTGTATTTGTATTGAAACGAAACACACTAGGGTTATAAGAGCGTTTGATCCCATAATGGTGGGAATCAGTACAACGGAAGGTTTAGACAAAATTTACAAAAGATGCAAGCTTCTAAAAAGTTTGGAAAGAGGAAACACATGCATAAAGATCAAGAACTCGTGAATCATATGCATAAGATTAGAGTTTTTTGGAGATCCTTAAACATGTGTTCATAACAGTTTCTAGAGTTCTAGCTTTGAATTTCATGCAGCGGAATAATATGAAACGAAACTCAAACAATATATCTTGCATATAATGATAAAGGTATCAATATACCAACTTGTTTCGATCCAGAGACCTGATTTCAAATGTTGAAATCCAACATTCTCTACAACTAGTCCACACTCTCAGGTTTGTATTAGTTAGGACACTATCTGGAGGTTAGAAACGGGAACCGAGGTGCTCCCCGGGGAGAAAAGAGTGTGATGCCCGCAACCCGCATCCCGCATAAAACGAGTTGCGCCACATGGCCAACGAAAAACAAAACGCAATTATTGAAATTACGCGGGATTAAAAACTTTTTGTTCACATTGATCTGCAGTGGAAACAAATACAAAGGGTAGTGTATACAATGACGGAAAAGACGAAATCCGTAAAACTACACTACCAATCATGTAAAACGGGAATCTGCCTAACTTAGAATTCTTCATGACTCCATCCAAGGTCGCATGCCTTAACTCCTGTTGTGATCCTCCTCGAGAACATCCAGCTGAGACGTGTAGTTGACCTTTTTTCCTCTTGACCCCTCACGATTCTATTCTAACCTGAAACGTTACATAACAACGTCATAAGCTACGTACTTAGTGAGTGATTCTGGTGTAACCCGAATACCTCACTCATTAAGATCGACCAAACAACTGGGAATCATCATACATACGTATACAGACGATAATTACAATCATCAATTCATTCAATCACTAAAACAATCTCAATCAGTCCGAAGGATAATCATCCTCGGACAACAACCGTCAAATCATCTCTGTGTACCCCGACACACGGGTTCAGGTCATTGATGTCGTAAATCTAGGTGAATAAATTTCGATCAAGTGATAAATTCCTAGACT